TGACATTGTGAGGGAAACGAATACGGCTAGCCAGTTTTAATAAATGCGCAAAAATTAAAACAAGTAATAATTTATAAAAATAATTCAACATTAAATGCATATTTTAGAATTTTTGTAAAGATCAAATGTTATTATTATGGAAAAAGTTTTTATTTAATTATTTGACACTCACATGAATTACAAGACCTTCGAAAGTGTATAATCTGCCCGAAAAACATAAAAGACGGAGTCTCACTTAGGACTTTTATAAATAATAATGGTCGCATGAAATACGAAGCATCGCAATTTATTTTCTCGAAGCAAATCTTTGAGAGCATGTAGCTTTAAATTAGACCTATTTACAAATTTAGTTGATTTATTAATTTATTAATGAACAGAAGATAGAAATGAGTGTATTCAACGTTCCATTCACCTTAAGTCGCTTAAAGTTATAAAGGATTTTATTATGATTCCTCTATTTAATTTGAGTAGAACTTACATTTTCATTGTGCCTCACTAAACCTTGCTTCCCATAACTTATTCCCAGCCAAGGTTTGCTGTAGTTTAGGCCTCGCTCAGTTATCATTAACATCCCAGTGAAAATCCAACCTGGGATATACAGCTTATAAGTTCAACACGTTACCACCACACCAAACTGCAACAAACTCCCAAGGGTCACATGGCAAATATAAATATGTCTCCCCCGTATCACATTGTTATGGTTGGAGTTATAAACTTCATAATACCAAGAAGCTTGTGTCTTAAAAATATTAGTCATAATGACAAGGGTCGATTAAGGCAAATTTTAGTCGATAATAAGTGTTTTAAAATATAATAAAATAGAATGTAGATAGGAATGGTTTTGGTCAAGATAGATGACTGGACTACTATGCTAAGTTTTATATTTTGCTATTCTTACAGCCCTTAAAATATATATACTAATTACTGAGAATTTGTAACTCAGAAAAATATATAAAAAGTTAATAACACTGCACTCTGTAACGCCGTCAATAAGTGAATATTCGGACCTTCCCTCTAGAGCGAGCTGTCACAGGGTTCTATATTTTCTCTAAGGAGGGGGAGGGTCTCGGATCCGTACATTAAAAGTATATGAAAATGAAATAGCCTGCAAGGGTTTGTAAGCACAAAACTTAGAGCTGCCGGGGCACTTGGTTACTCATTATTCTAGATATACTAACCTAAAGCCAAATGCCTAGCAAGATATGAAGATTTTA